CTAGAACTGCTCTCCTCAGCCACAGCTGCTCAGAGAGGGCAAGAGTGTCGTCATTGCCAGAGCCCGGGACCCGCCAGGGCCCCACCACCAGTGCTGGAGTGTGCAGGGAGTGACTGGATGTGGCACTCTGAGCTCTGGGTTGGTAACTCAGATTAGAGAACGGTGATAATAACACCAAGGTCCCGGGTTCAATCCCTGTACAGGCCATTCATGGGCTCAATGACCTTGTGGGTCCCTTCCAACTCGGAACGTTCTGATCTCTTCCCAGTTGATCAGGTGGGGATCAGTCAAAGGTTGAACTCGATGATCTTGCAGATCTTTTCCAGCATAAATGAACCTATTTTAGGATTCCCAACAAAGCTGAGAGAGCTGCCCCCAAAATAATTTAGATGGGAACGTGTCTGAGGTCAATCCTCAGTATGGCACTGCTGCATCAATTTAGGAACAGCAACAAACTGCAGCCAAGGACTTTGATGATCCTGGTGTGTCCCTTCCCTCAGGATCCTCTATGATTCTGTGACTCTATTCAATGACATGGAATCTACGACTGTGATTCCATGACAGACTGAAATAAGTCCTGTTCCTTGCTCTGTTTCCAAACTGTCTGAGTCAGCCCAGTGTCAATCCCATCACTCCAACTTTTGGCTAATTTGCTCTTTCCAATTACCTTCACCTCCATCCTCAGGTTTTTCCCACCTATCTTGTTACTATGCCAAGAAGTGATTTAAAAGAAAAGCAGGGGACAGAATTAAGATAGATAAGGACAAGGCAAGTATAAAAATTGTGGATAAAAAGCTCCAACTCACTATCAAATACGGGTGAATAACAATAAATTAAAATCAGTAAATAAATAGGGTTTAAAATCCTGTGCTTTCACAAATGGCCTAAATATCTGCACCCAGGTTAAGAGAGATGCTGTGTTACCCCACAACAGGACTATGGGGAACAGGTTCATCACACAGGGAGCAGAGTGGACTGTGGACAGGAACCAACCTAAACCTTCCAGTGCTGCTTCCTTGTCTGTGGTTTTTCAGGATTGGTTTCAGTGCTGTGGCAGAGCACTTTTCCCTCTCCTGCAGGGCTCGGGATCCCTCTGCTGGTCACAGCACAGGAGGAACCAGCACGGATTTTCCTGGGTGGAACAAAGTCCTCCCAAGAAAAAGGTCCTGATCACATGGGAACCTGCCACCTGCAAGGCCAGGGTGAGGCAGAGGGGACAAATCCATGGAAATAAAGCTCCCAGGAGTCTGTGCCAAGGAGGGAAGATCTTCATAGAAAGCTGGGCAGGGCTGGCTGCACAGAACAGACCTGCTCCTGGCAATGACAGGGGCTAGAATTAAAATATTAAATAAAATAGAGCTGAGGGAGCTGCACTCCTTGGCCATCGACACCTGAAGGAAGATCCCATGCAGGAAACAGCACATGAGAATTATGGATCTGATAACAGCCTAATTAATTATTGATTATGACCTCTGTGGGTTCCTTCCAGCTGAGGATATTCTGTGATTCTACATCTCTGAGGTGGGCAAATGCCCTCTGGAGCTGGTGCCAAACCTGCCCTTTCCTGAGGGAGAGACTTGAGAGCTTCATGCTCAGCCTTGTGCTGCCTTGGCCATCACCTCCTTCATCTGTGGCTCCTCAAACTAAGCAACAGCTCTGAAAAGCCACCTGGTGATATTCCCTGCTGCTGGAAGGCCCAGGATTTTCAAAGGACAGTAAAGCACCTCTGAGGCAAAGGAGATCCAGCAGAGACAAGCTGAGCAATGGGGCACTGACACTTCCCATGCCATTTGAAGATCTCAGAGTTATCACTTGTTTGAAAGCCTGGAGTCAGAGTCAGGAGTGAAGTGGAAAACTAGTTCCTGATCTCTGCAAATGGCTGTGAGAGGGGAGGGTTCAGGACTCAGGCTCTTATCTCCTGGGCCTTATGTCTCAGTTAAGAGGGAAAGCACAGACTGTACAGAAAACCTGTCAGAGGTTTTCTGAGAAAACCACCATCATTTGAAGATTCAAAATAAACCACAAATCACTCCAGTTTTCCACCTCTCTCTCTCTCTCCTGATGGAAATGGTGACTGCAGGTCTGCCCACGATGTTCAACATCATCCTGGGAATTAAGAGTCCCTGTGAGGGACAGGTTTCCTAAATCACACAATTCCTAAATTCTGAACCCCAACAGTCACCCACCAAAGGCCAGAGATCTTGGGGTGCCACAAGCTCCTCTGTGCCAGGGTGTGGTTGGGAATGTGACTTGTTCAGATCCCAGATTTCAGTGGGATCTTATCAATAGTTACAATGAAACAGCTCCTTCATCCCATGAGCCAGGCTGGGAGAGCTGGGGGGGTTCCCCTGGAGAAGAGAAGGCTCCAGGGAGAGCTGAGAGCCCCTGGCAGGGCCTAAAGGGGCTCCAG